GTGTGCATTTTTTGATGTTCGGTAAGATAGCTACTGCACCTGAAGCTCTTGCCACATTCCATGCATGTGTATGGCTTCTCCCCGGAGTGCGTTCTGTGATGACTGGTAAGATGGCTACTCTGGCTGAAGCTCTTGCCACATTCCATGCATGTGTATGGCTTCTCCCCAGTGTGTGTTTTTTGATGGCTGATAAGATTTCCATTTTGACTGAAGCTCTTGCCACATTCCATGCATGTGTATGGCTTCTCCCCAGTGTGCATTTTTTGATGGCGTGTAAGATTTCCTCTATCACTGAAGCTTTTTCCACATTCCATGCATGTGTATGGCTTCTCCCCAGTGTGCATTCTTTGATGGAGTGTAAGAGATCCTTTGACACTGAAGCTCTTGCCACATTCAATGCATGTGTATGGCTTCTCCCCAGTGTGCATTCTTTGATGCATGGTAAGCTGTCCCCGTTGACTGAAGCTCATTCCACATTCCATGCAGGTGTATGGCTTCTCCCCAGTGTGCATTCTTTGATGGATTGTAAGATTTCCTCTGTCACTGAAGCTCTTGCCACACTCCATGCATGTGTATGGCTTCTCCCCAGTGTGCATTCTTTGATGCATGGTAAGCTTCCCCCGTTGACTGAAGCTCTTGCCACATTCTATGCATGTGCATGGGTTTTCCCCAGTGTGCGTTTTTTGATGTTCGATAAGATAGCTACTGCACCTGAAGCTCTTGCCACATTCCATACATGTGTATGGCTTCTCCCCGGAGTGCGTTCTGTGATGGACGGTAAGATTGCTACTCTGGCTGAAGCTCTTGCCACATTCCATGCATGTGTATGGCTTCTCCCCGGAGTGCGTTCTGTGATGACTGGTAAGGTGGCTACTCTGGCTGAAGCTCTTGCCACATTCCATGCATGTGTATGGCTTCTCCCCAGTGTGTGTTTTTTGATGGCTGATAAGATTTCCATTTTGACTGAAGCTCATTCCACATTCCATGCACGTGTATGGCTTCTCCCCAGTGTGCATTCTTTGATGGATTGTAAGATTTCTTCTGTCACTGCAGCTCTTGCCACACTCCATGCATGTGTATGGCTTCTCCCCAGAGTGCGTTCTGTGATGGATGGTAAGGGTACGACTGCATCTGAAGCTCTTGCCACATTCCATGCATGTGTATGGCTTCTCCCCAGTGTGCGTTTTTTGATGACGTGTAAGATTTCCTCTGTCACTGAAGCTCTTGCCACATTCCATGCATGTGTATGGCTTCTCCCCAGAGTGCGTTCTTTCATGCATGGTAAGAGATCCTTTGACACTGAAGCTCTTGCCACATTCCATGCACGTGTATGGCTTCTCCCCAGAGTGTGTCCTGTGATGGATGGTAAGAGTACGACTGCAGCTGAAGCTCTTGCCACATTCCATGCATGTGTATGGCTTCTCCCCGGAGTGCGTTTTTTGATGTGTGGTAAGATAGCTACTGCACCTGAAGCTCTTGCCACATTCAATGCAAGTGTATGGTTTCTCCCCAGAGTGCATTCTCTGATGGATGGTTAAATGTCCACTTCCACTGAAGCTCTTGCCACATTCCATGCATGTGTACAGCTTCTCCCCAGAGTGTGTTCTTTGATGGATTGTAAGAGATCCTCTGACACTGAAGCTCTTGCCACCTTCCGTACATGAATATGGTGCATCTCCACTGTGGAATCCTTGATGTTTACTAAGACCTCCACTTTCATGGAGGCCCTTCCTGCATCCCATACACTTGTTTGGCCCCTCCCCTACATCCTTTGTTTGCTGCCCAGAATGATTTCCAGCGCCACTGAAGCTCGTCCCACATTCTGTGCATTTCGACGGCTGCTCTCCACTCTGCACCCGGCTGCTTTTTCTAAGTCTTCCGACAGCCCTTAAGATCAGCCTTCCTTCCATGATTGATGTGGCTTCCTCAAAGTGCTGGATCAGTGCTGCTCACTAAACCTCGGCTATCTCTGAGCCCCTTTCCACACTGCACGGGTTCAAAGGGCTTCGGCACGCTGGGAGTTGATGAACTCTTGTCCCTAGTTCGATGCTCTTTCAGCGTTCTGCACGTTCATTTGGCCTCATTCCTTGCTACAATTAGGATCCATACATTCACCCATCTTTCGGTAATCTGTCAAAAACAAGATTCTTTCCCCTTCCTCTTTCTGGGACTGAAAGGAATGAAGGGCGATTGTTTGCAGGACCTTGAGAAATATCAGAGCTTTCCCAATTGTTCTGTATTCGGTCGTCTTGTGCTCTTTTGATATCCTTTAATTTAGAATTCCCTCTTTTCTCACTTCATGCTCACTGGTTTCTGCTTATTTGATGCAGGGAACCATATCATTTTCCTCTCCTATCATTCATCTGTTTGGGAGGAAAAAGACAAGAAAAGCTTGGTAGCAGTGAAAGGCCAACAAAAATGCACTCAATCGAGCGCACAGCAACCCTGGCACGAGTCGGGTCAACATCTCAGCCGTCTCCCTGCCCACTGCGTACGCACTGCCAAAACCGCAATTTCTCAAGGACTCTCTTCCCAGAGTGACATCGCATACACTGAGGTCTGGATGGGCTCTGTACTGTCCTGGCAGCACTAATATCTCCAATAAGAAAGGAAATCTCCTGTTTCAGGGTGTTGCACTGCCCGGAAAAGTGGAGATCAAAAGGCACCAGAGATGGTGAGTTGACACCATCTTATGCAACGCTGATCAAATACAGAGAGATATAGCATGAGCAAAGGCACGCGAGACTCACACAAGGAATTGCAGGGACCAGTGCAAAGAAGCATCTGGGCCGCAAACCGTTCTCCTGCAGCAGGTCCGGTAGGGCAGAAACCGGAAACCATCTGTCTCTGAGACACCAACACTCCCAGGCAGGAATGCGTGCAGCCCCCCAGCAGATGCCTGCAGTGGAACATGGCGGAGCCCCCTGCAGGGGCGCAAAGGTGCCGGGGATCCCACAGGGATGATGGGCACGATGCGGGTCTGCTCGGGAGGAGGGTTTGCGAGCTCTTGAGGCACTTACAGTGTACACAGGAGCGGCTCAGCAAGGCCCCAGCAGCCGCAACGGATGAACAGGGAAGCGCGCAGCTGCTTGCCGCAGGCACCTGCCTGGATGCAGGTGAGAGCTTTGCAGCTGCACAGGCTACGACTCCTTCAGGGTCGTCTTAGGGGCTGCGTCCTGCCCAGCTCTGCCCATTGGCCGTGGTGGGTGGGGGCAAGAACAGCCTTTGCCACAGCCGGATTCGCCCGGCCCACGTCTGGAAGCAGGCTCGCTAGCGATTTGACCTGGTCCTGAATGGTGCAACACTCCCTCTTAGGCACAAGGTCCACAGCTTAGGAGTACTCCTCGACCCGGAGCTTTCTTTGGAAGCTCAGGTGACAGTGGTGGCGAGCAACGCCTTCCTTCAGCTTCGGCTGAATAATCAGCTGCGCCCCTACCTGGAGTACGACTGCCTGGCGACGGTGACACACGCGCTGGTGACTTCCCGCCTAGACTTCTGTAACGCGCTTTACGTGGGGCTTTCCCTGAAGACAGTCCGAACACTTCAATTGGTGCAAAATAGAGCTGCCAGGTTGCTGACGGGGACGGGGCGTTATGCTCACATGACTCCAGTCCTCCGTCAGCTTCACTGGCTTCCCATTGAAGCCCGGGCCCAATTCAAGGTGTTGATTATGACCTATAAAGCCCTAAACAGCTTGGGTCCTGGCTACCTGAACGAGCGCTTATGTCCGTATATGCCCGACCGCCCTTTGAGATCTGTGGGAGTGGCCCTTCTCCGGGAACCCTCCATGAAAGAAATTAGGAGAGTAAGTACTCGGAGGAGGGCTTTCTCTGCGGTGGCGCCCAACCTATGGAATTCACTCCCCAAAGAGGTCCGCCTGGCACCGTCGATACTGGTTTTTCGGTGCCAAGTAAAGACCTTTTTATTTAAACATCATTTTAATTATTAAAACATATGATCTGGCCAGGGCAACTTCTTCTTCCTTCTCTTTCTCCTCCTATATTTTTATTTACTTATTTTATACTGATAATTTTAATTTTATATTTGTAACTCAATGTATTTTATTTTTTATTTAATGGTAACTTATTATGTTCTATTGTATTTCAATGTACTTTATTGTGTTGTAAGCCGCCCCGAGGTTTCGGCAAGGGGCGGCATAGAAATGTTATAATAATAATAATAATAATAATAATAATAATAATAATAATAGCGAGCCTTTTCACTGCACAGGGCTCTGTGTCTGTCCTTTATCTGACTTCCCTGCCAAATAGCTATAAAACAGACAGACAGAGAGAAAGACAGACAGACAGACGTTGCAAGACCCTGAGGCAGAGACACTGGGGCCTTCCTAGCCGTGCATTTTGGCACTGAGCCTGCTCCGTACCAGAGGGAAGCTCTGACACGGGGTCTCCCTGCTCTGAGGCCATCACCGAAAACCCAACCCCAAGCTCCCTGTATTAATGACCTCGAAGAGGAAGTGCAGGGGGCAATGACCACACCTGCAGAGGGCAGCAGAGGGGCCGGGGTGACTGGGAACGTGGGAGGCGGAAGGAGAGCCAAGGGGATCTGGAGGTGCTGGAGCCCCGGGCTGAAAACAGCAGGAAGAACTTCAATATGGAGCAAGGCCCGGTTTCCCAAGTCACCCGGAAAAAGAAACCTAATGCGGAGGTCCAAGTTGCGGAATACTAGGTCAATGATACTGCAAGTCAGAAGGATCTTGGAATTTTTCTGGTGCAGCTCCGGATAGGAAAAGGTCAGCCCTTCCAATTCCAAAGAAAGGCAATGCCAAAACATGTTCAAACTACCGCGCCATTGCACCCATTTCACATGCTAGCAAAGTTATGCTCAAATCCTGGGTCCTCCAAGTATGGCCTGCGGGCCGGATCCGGTCCGCCATCCCCATTTATCCGGCCCACCTCAGCGGTTCTGGACTCACCGTGCACATGCCTGCCCCGGATCACTTTGCGATCGATCGATCCTCCCTCACCACCCACACACACCATCAGTGCCTTTCAATTGGCCCCTTTTGAAAAAGTTTGAGGAGACCTGCTGAAAATCCTACAAACTAGGCTGCAGCAATATGTGGACTAAGAACTATCAGAAGTACGGCAGGATCTCGAAGAGGCAGAGGAACCAGAGATCAACAAAGAGATGCCAACATACACAGGATCATGGAGAAAGCTAGGGAGTTCCAGAAAAAGGTCCACTTCTGCTTCATTAACTATGGTCAAGCCTTTGATTGTGTGGATCACAACCAATTATGGCAAGTTCTTAAAGAGATTGGAGTACCTGACCATCTTATTTCTCTCCTGAGAATCCTATATGTGGGTCATGAAGCAACAGTTAGAACTGGGCACAGAACCACTGATTGGTTCACAAATGAGAAAGGAGTTTGGCAAGGCTGTATATACTCGCCCTGCCTATTTAACTTATATGCAAAGTACATCATGAGAAAGGCAGGGCTGGATGAATCACAAGTTGGAATTAAGATTACAGGGAGAAATATCAACAACCTCAGATATGCGGATGATACCACTCTCATGGCAGAAAGTGAAGAGGAACTAAAGAGCCTCTGGGTGCACGTGAAGGAGAAGAGCGCAAAAGTTCGCTTAAAACTCCATCCAATCCTTTTCTCTAAATATTTGATTTTCTTTCAGTACCTTTCTCAAACTATCCCTCAAATTTTCTGGAATTCCTCTAATCAGTGTAACTGAGCTCACTGGTCAGAACATTGGCATAAATTCTTCCCTGTACTTCTCCCAAATTTTTCAAAAAGGGATTTTCTATTCTTTTAATCATCTTCTTATTGTTGCATTGAAAAAATATTTTAAAAAGATTCCAAAAGTTCCTGTTCTTCCATCCCTGCCCTTAGTATTTCATCTGGCTTCCAAATGGTATTCGGCATAAATCTTCACTGGTTCGCTTCATAATATACTTTAATATTCTGGATACGTAGTCCGCTCCCTTTTCGTGAGTTATACCATCATTTCCTAGTCAACTTTGCTCTCTTATCTCCATTACAAAACTTATTAATCTGTTTTTGCCCACTCTTTGCCCACTATCCTTACTGACAACATCCCAAACAAGTTTACCTCAAGTAAAATCCCCCTTTTATGAAATGCTATTCTACCAAACCAAGACCACCAAAATTGCTAAACTGCTGCTTTTTCTCATTCATTTCGGATCTTAATAAATCTGAATTATTCTGATCAGACATAGGGTATTTTTTGAAATACTGATATTGGCCAAATATGAAACTTATCCTCAATTCCCTCCTTTTCTTCCCCATTGAAACTGAACAAGGGCATCTCAATTTTCTCTCAATTAACCTGCAACCACTTA